CCCCCCCGTTTCTGTGGAGTATACTGAAAATTGCTGGAGAGGGGTAATCCATGGATTTGGGAAATGCCAGGGAAGGATCCTTAGATCTAGAGCAGGATGAGATCTCTCCTCTCCATGCTCTGCCTGTCCCTGAGTTCATGAGAAAGAGCTATAAGACGTTGGGTTTCACCATGGAGTTGCATTGCTTGCATTGCTGGTTAATCACCGCTGCCTCATTTCTTTCTGGCCCTTCTAGCTCAGACAGATCTGGACCTTGGAATCTGCATCATCAATCAAATAACAGTAACTGGGGGGGGGGGGGTTTGAGTGCGTAGCCGAGAAGCCTCCGTTCCTTAATCCTTCCCCATACATTCCTTCCCCCTAGTTTCTTTTCTCCGTAACACAGGATAGGGTTGCCAACCTCCAGGTGGGGCCTGGGGAATCTCCTGGTTTTACAACTGATCTTCAGCTGACAGGGATCAGCTTCCCTGGAGAAAAGGGCTGCTTTTGCAGGTGGACTCTATGGCATTGTACCATGCTGAGGCCCCTCCCCTCCCCAAACCCCACCGTCTCCTGGATCCACCCCCAAAGTCTCCAGGTATTTTCCAACCCAGACCTGGCAACCCTGACACAGGATCAGAGTTCATGCTATGAGTTATTTGGTGTGCATTTTCCAAAGATGTTCCCTCTTTAACAGGCGTGGAAGCTGCTCGGGGGTTACATTTTCAGCAGGAAAAATAACAAGAGAGACGGAAGGAGTGAAGAGGCCCTTTCTCTCTTTCCCGTGCTGTTCTCTCCTTGAAAAAGTAGCCCCAGGAGCTGCACTGGGAAAAAACCAAAATCACATGAACTTGTGATAGGAAGGCATGGATCTGGAAGCCTAGCTGGGGGGACAGCAGATGGGGAGAAGGGATTATTCTCTCCCTGCCACCGCCCCAAGCCTGCTATTTAACCTGCAGTCAATTACAATTTGCTGCTGTTCAGAACTCAGCCATGGCTTTATGGAGGTCCCTCCTGAGAGAAAGCAGTATATAGCAGAGGGGTTACAACTGCCTTCGTGTAGCGCAAGCAGATAGCAAAGAGTAATCTTAGTGCTTCTGCTGGCACAAGGACAGTTGCTCACAGAGAAGCCTTCTGTTGGATCCATCCCAGTGAACTAGGGTTGCCAACTTCCAGGTGGTCAAACAAGAAGAAGAAGAGGAGATTGGATTTGTACCCCACCCTTCACTACCCAAAGGTGTCTCAGAGAGGCTTACAAACTCCTTTCCCTCCCCCTCCCCACAACAGACACCCTGTGAGGTGGGTGCGGTTGAGAGAGCTCTGACAGAAACTGCTCTTTTTCAAGGACAGCTCTTATCAGAACTACAACTTGCCCAAGGTCATCCAGCCAGGTGCAAGTGGAGGAGTGGGGAATCAAACCCGATTCTCCCAGATTAGAGTCCGCGCACTTAACCACTACACCAAACAAATATATACACTGCAAAAACCTTTTTTATAAGTTAAAGTGTTCTATATGTTCC